TTCCATCGTACGTACACCGCATCTTCTTTCATCATCTGCTGATGGACACTTAAGTCGCTTCCATATCTTGGAATTGGAGATAATGCTGCTGTAGACACTGAGGGACATGTAGGTTTTGAATTAGTGTTTTCACTTCCTTCGGAAAAATGCCCAGGAGTGGAATTGCTGGGTCGCACGGTAACTCTACGTTTAGTGTTTCGAGGAGCCCCCCATACTCTTCTCCACAGTGGGGCACTGACTGGCATCCCCACCAACAGAGTGCAGGGCTCCCTTTCCTCCACAAGAGATTAAGTTAACGTTGAAGGTCATCCTCCATGAAGCATGTGTCGGATCTTCTTCATAATGTTCATGTTGGGTAAGACTTGAGCCCCGGCTAAACTGGATTTTGAAACGAGCTCTCACCAAACTATTCAGAACTGAATAAACTGGAATTTCTGTTTCTCGCCCCGAGTGGTGCGTAAGCTCTGTGTGTGCCTTTCCTCTCAGATATCCTGCCAAGAGCAGCGCTCGCCTAAACGAGAGAGTGCTCAGAGTTACGCACACAAACACAGTGCAGTGTCACAGGGCTTTCCCTGGTGGCTCAGGCAGTAAAGAATCTGCCCGCCAATGCAGGAGACCCGGGTTCAATCCAGGGTCAGGAAGGTCCCCTGGAGAAGGAAATGGCAACCCACTCCAGTATCCTTGCCTGAGAATCCCATGGACAGGGGAGCCTGGAGGGCCACAGTCCATGGGGTCGTAAAGAGTCACGACTAAGCTACTATCACTTTCCTTCTCATGGGGAACAAAAGCCCACCAGCCCTGATTAACTCCACCCCTCGCAAACCACCCCTTTGCCTTCAACACAAGACTACATCCTGAAGCCTTTAGTCAAGTTTTATGCCTGAAGGAAGGATTGTAGCTGTTAGTAGTGCTTTATTCTCGAGGACGCACCTCTACAAACATCCAAATGGGCGTGTGTTTGTGGGCAGAGGCCCCCACGTGCTGGCCGCTCTGTGAATTTCCTGTCACTCATGGCCCGCCCTCCCTATGTTTGGAAAAACAAGACCTTTTCTCAATGCTTTTTACTTAATTACAGTCATAGCTACCCAGATCTAAAGTCTTAGATTTCACCTGGCCTAAGGTTAGAGGTCTATTGACAGCATGCTTCTGATAACTTTTAACCTCTGTTTGCTTTAGCTGTGTCAGGATAAAATTATTCTCATTTTTAAACACTATAAAACATCAGAGAATTAACTTCGAACGCATGGGGAGGCCTTGGTGAAAATGGAAGTCCTATGAAGTATGAAGAATTTTTGAGCTAAAATTAGCAAGATTATTAACATTTGAAAATTATGAACGCTGCAGGAACACTAAAACATTCTCATTTTTAAGAGCGTTCTATCGGAAACATGTTCTGAAAACATGTACAGAACTTGGGGCCCATACAGTGAATAAAATTCAAATAGAATGAAGGTATTTATGTCCTTGAGAGATTTCCTCACTTTTTGATTTTTTTTTCTTTCTTCTAATCAGTGTTGAGTTCAAGTTTTGCTACAGCCAAAGTAAAGTCTTGCAAAATTACACGCTTCTACAATACTCGAACTACCTATGTGATTTCAAGTGTCTGTTTATGGGTATGCATGTCTATGTATGTGGATGCTTGTATGCACAATGGAATAATAATTTAATTCACAGAGGTGTGCCTTCAACTATAACAGATTTTAGTTGTTACACATTGCTTTGTTTTGCTAAAAACTGAGAGTTTCAAGGACCTTATTGTTTCACTGAGCCAGTGCTCGGAGGCACTTGTACTGTACCCTGTAAACGAAACCAAGGCCTGGGGGTGACACATCAGTCTCATGGCTAGTCTGCTGAGCCAGCATCAGGAGGCAGTCCAGGGACCGCGGGCCAAGTCTAGGAACCCAGCACCTGTGCAGGTAAAGAGCAGAAGAGCCAGTCCTTTTCCCAGAGGGTTTCCTTTTTCACTTGCTTATAGCTCCCAGCCTCCTAACTTGGAAGAAACAGTATCATAGTCTCTCACTAAACATAGTTTTAATTTTATCCAACGGGGACACTCTGGCCGATGTTCTTGGTGACCCACCCAAGACTGAAATTGAGCTGCCATGACTCTGATGATTATGATATAACAAAATGCACTGCATTTTAAATATTCTCTTCTGAGCTGCAAATATAGGAAATTGACGTTGGTTCCCAATTAATGTAATTCTTCACAAGCCTCAATTAGAGAAAGCATGCTTGCAGCACATTAGGTTTGGGAGGTCATCACACAACAGTTTCTGAGCAGACATTCTTAAATATCTTGGTCCCCAGGGCACAGTGCTGTCTTAGAAAATGCAAAGACCTGTCTATGTGAGGTACACCCATAAATACTCATCACATGGCAAATTAACACTGAGAATTTTTAGAAAATGTTAATTTATTTTAAAATAGCTATAATATATAACATTAATAAATAGACATTACTTTTAGCCTTATTCTTGTGAAAAATATAGCCATATTTTCAAGAGAATAAAAGGCCATTTAGTGGAAAGGGTATATTATTTTAAATGTGGCTTGAGAGAAGACAGGCAGGTTTTCATACCTGCTTCAGAATTCAGTCTGTTGGTGTGATTTGGTTGAAGGACCTCATGCCAATTTGTACTTGGAAAAGGGGAGAATGTTTTAATACTCTTTTAACAAACTGTGGACATTCTTCTTTGTCACTGCACCAAAACTGGGGACAATATTTAGTATCCTATAGGTTAATTGCACAGACTCTGAAAACACGTCAACAAACATGTTTTCGTATTTCATATTTAAATCCACTGGGTTATCCTGTGTTTGAATGAATCTTGTACCCATTCATGGTTTTGTGACATCACATACTGCTCATTTGGAAAACACTGAATTGTACAGTCATGCAGTTGAGACATTTCTTTAAACTATATTCCAAAATCACTCATTAGTATTACCACCAGCTTCAACAACAAGCAGCCTTTGAGAATTAGGAAGCTGTTAAACTCTTAGAGGCAAGTTTTCACAAATCTGAGTTTCTGTTTCAAAAGTCAGATGTTACCATGAACAACAAAGAATGCCAGTTACTTTCCTTGAGCTGACGGGCTGCTTCTTTCACATTCATCAGATATTAGGCCTTGATATCATGACTTGTCTGTCGGGTTCTTTGGAGTAAAGACTGCGCTTGGTGAAGGAGAAGGGTGGCACGTTTAGCGCTTCTTGGTCAAGGCCATGATGTCTTCACGAGACCAGCGTCATGTTCCCCACCCCCTCACACAGAGCGTGGAGGACACACGCACTCAAGGGCCAAGAGTTCAAATAATCACTTTCACAGCGTCGTCAAGTGTGGCCAACATTATTAATTCTTGTTATTATTGTATCCCGTGAGCACGGGCCATGAAGCTCCCCGTGACAGTGGGCACCGAGGGGAGCCCCTGCCCAGGCGTGGGCCCAGACCCCAGCAGTTCAGCCACCTGGGACTCTGCGCCATCAGCACAAATATCCACGTGGGCAGAGGTCAAGAACTCGGTGGCAACTTCACAAAGACAGTCAGGACCTTGGGACCTACTGTGAAGGTTTTGGGTTCCCTAGGCAACTGAGTGCCACATTTTGAAAATTGCTAAATTAGATGATGGGTAAGGGTCAAAACAAAAAGCAGTTGTTTTGCTAGGAATCTATGAGGACTCCAGAAACTCATAAAAATAACCCAAGCCAGGCGATGTTGTTTTCTATCGAAGTAGCCAAAATCTTTGGCTCACTTGGAGAGCTGTACAGGAAAAGAGCTGGTATGCTGTTATAAAGAGCGAACTGGCATCCTTGATCTGAGAGACCATCTCTACCAACTTGCAAGTGAAGCTTGACTAAGAATTCAAGGCCTAAACCAGCAACACTGGGCACTGCTGGCTGGGGGAGGCAGCGGGCGTCTCTGCTTGTCCAGAAAAGGCTGAACAAGCTCCTCCTACTTCCACGCTCTTGACATCCCCCCCCACCCCGATGAGGGGAGGGAAGAGTACATGGATCACAGTATAATTGGAACTGTAGGTGATTTTAATAAAAGCTAATATTCATTTTAAAAAATAGGAATGGTGCTTGCATCCTACAGAATGTCTTAACAGAAATCTATGAAAATGTATGAAAAATGTCATGGATGAAATTTGTAAAATTTTGTTAGTATGCAGTTAGTATGCAGGAGATCCACATTTCAGACGATAAAAACCTTTTTTTTTTTTAAGCAAAACAAAGACAATAAAAGCTAACAATAGCTAGAGCTGCAGTTAATCTTTAGAATTCAATTTATGCCTTGGCAGTTTACTCTGTTTTTGGTGAACACAGGTTTTTTTTTTTGAAAGCTTTTTGGCTTCAATTCAGGCAAAAGCAAAACAAGGCTGAAAATGTACAGTATTCTGAGCCCCCAATGGATGCCAGCAACAGCGAATCTCAGCTTATTTGTTTTAAAGGTTGTGTATCTGATTACAAGTGTCTTTAATATGCTTTTTTTTGAAACAAAATGGGATAGATCTAAAAACGGAAAGTGAATGCATTGCTAATGTGTATTGATATTTTAAGAATATTGACATTTCATAACTAGTTTATACAGAAAATACATTACCAAGTATTTGCAAGGTGTTTTTAAGTCTTGTTTGGACCAGCAACTGATGACTTTATTACTATCGAATAAGCCATTATGGGGACTACATTACCGCAATATAATTATTTATTAAACCTTTTACAGTGAAATGAACACTTAGAAAGAGAGAACTGTCTCTACTTTCTCTTAACCAATAATTATAATGTATTTACCATGTGTTTTTTTATGTCACTGATGCATGGTAATTTGTATGTATGGTGGCTTCACATTTTACCCATAGGGTGGTTATTTTATAAATGTGCTAAATCTAATTAGAATATATTCAGCCAAGAACACCAGCCACCAACACAAAGTCCCGCCTACCTGGCCATTTGCTTCCTGATTTCAATCCCTTTGCCCCCGGGCGGTGTCCGATTAGCAGGACTGGGTGCAGGCTCAGGACAAAGAGAAGCGGTCCTTCTGGGAAGTTACAGGTGAGCGCACGGCCCACCTGCTGCGGCAGGACCTAACCCCCGCCCGGTCTGCACGCCCCTCACACCAGCGCCCCGCGCCAGCCCTGGACGTGTGGTCTGGCTGACCAGCCGGGCCTCGGTGAGCTTCTCAAGGTCTTTCCAGTGTCACACCTGGGAAGGCATCTAGGGAGACGTGTGTGCATTTCAGGATGTGTGTGGTGTGAGACAATACAACACGGGGCATGAGGGGGAAAATGGAAATTTTTGTCAAGAAAACTAAGAAAACCCCCAAGCACCTACACAGAGTGTACATTTTTGCATCTAAAGCGTTAAGGATCCGAACAACAGTTAAACTCAGTAAATGCAGAGGATGGGTCATTACGCAGATTTGTTATTGTTAAGAAGAGAGAGACAACTGAAGCTGAATCTCAGTTCTACTCAGCTACACTTAGCTGTGTGACTTGGTGGTAATTACTTAACCTCTCTGAGCCTTTGTTTCCCCTTCTGTAAAATGGGTATAATGATAACACCTACCTCACTGGACTCCTGTGAGGATGAAATGAATGAAGTGGTCCATGAGAGGCCTGGTAAACTGCTATTGTGGTTCAGTGACTCAGTCGTGTCTGACTCTTTGCGACGCCATGGACTGTAGCACGCCAGGCTTCCCTGCCCTTCACCATCTCCTGGAGTTTGCTCAAACTCACGTTCATTGAGTGGATGATGCCATTCAATGATCTCATCCTCTGACAAACAGTAAGTCCTCAATAAATGGTGAATATTGTTCTTTTCGCTGCCTTTGGGGAGCGTCGCGTGTGAACACCGACCCCCCTTTTGTAATCAGACTTCCCAGATGGCTCAGTGGTAAAGGATCCACCTGAGTGCAGGAGCCGCAGGAAACACGGGTTTGATCCCTGGGTTGGGAAGATCCCCTGGAGGAGGGAATGGCCACCCGCTCCATTATTTTTGCCAGGAGAATCCGCAAGTTTCCCCTGAGCTGGGAGGGCACAGTGGACGCAGGTTCCCCCTCCAGGCTGCTGCTGCTCCAGCTGCTTGGGTCACTGTTCGCCTGGAGGCGGACGGCGTCAGACTGTGGGTCCAGAGTCCCTCCGTCAGGATGACGGGGCCGGCGCAGAGTGCAAGGACGCGCCCCAGCGCGTCACTCCCAAAAGTGGCGTAGGGCCCTGCTGGGGGCTTGGAAAGAGCTGGAGAACAGCACATGCCTCTCAGAGGCCACCACCAGCTGCCGACGGAAGCGCAAGACCGGTCCTCCCGCTCTGTGACCATGTTGTCGAGGGGAAGCACCCCTCGAGAGCCGCATAATCGCCCGGGGAGACAGCCCTGGCACGTGGTCCTGGGCACCTCTGTGACCTCACAGGTCCTTGCTACCCCTGGTCCCGCATGTTATCGTCTGTAAATGGGAGATGATGTACCCGCTGTAGAGGGGGTCCACGTGGGCATCTCTGCCATGGAGAGCTGATGGAAAGGGTTCAGTGGGAAGGTGTGTTATTGATGGAAATCCAGTGTACTAATAAAAAGTGAATGTCGGTGGCTCTCTTCTGTAAGGGTGTGAACACTTAAATGTGACCTTGGGCATGTATGCACGCATGCTAAGTTGCTTCTGTAGTACCTCACTGTCTGTGACCCCAGGGACTGCAGCTCACCAGGCTCCTCTGACCATGCAGATTCTTCAGGCAAGAATACTGGCATGGGTTGCCATGTCCTTCTCCAGGGGATCTTCCTGACCCAGGGGTCGAACCCACATCTCTTACGCCTCCTGCATTGGCAGATGGGTTCTTTACCACTAGTGCCACCTAGTATTAAGGCAAATTGGAAGTGGTCAAACAGCAGATGGCAAGAGTAAACATCGACGTTTTAGGAATCTGTTAACTAAAATGGACTGGAATGGGTGAATTTAACTCAGATGACCATTATATCTACTACTGTGGGCAAGAATCCCTTAGAAGAAATGGAGTAGCCATCATAGTCAACAAAAGAGCCTGAAATGCAGCACTTGGATGCAGTCTCAAAAATGACAGAATGATCTCTATTCATTTCCAAGGCAAGCCATTCAATGTCACAGTAATCCAAGTGTATGGCCCGACCAGTAATGCTGAAGGAGCTGAAGTTGAACGGTTCTATGAAGACCTACAAGACCTTTTAGAACTAACACCCAAAAAAGATGTCCTTTTCATTATAGGGGACCGGAATGCAAAAGTAGGAAGTCAAGAAACACCTGGAGTAACAGGCAAATATTTCCTTGGAGTACGGAATGAAGCAGGGCAAAGGCTAATAGAGTTCTGCCAAGAGAACACACTGGTCATAGCAAACACCCTCTTCCAACAACACAAGAGAAGACTCTACACATGGACATCACCAGATGGTCAACACTGAAATCAGATTGATTATATTCTTTGCAGCCAAAGATGGAGAAGCTCTATACAGTCAGCAAAAACAAGATGGGAGCTGACCGTGGCTCAGATTATGAACTCCTTATTGCCAAATTCAGGCTTAAACTGAAGAAAGTAGGGAAAACCACTAGACCATTCAGGTATGACCTAAATCAAATTCCTTATGATTATACAGTGGAAGTGAGAAATAGATATAAGGGACTAGATCTGATAGACAGATTGCCTGATGAACTATGGACAGAGGTTCGTGACATTGTACAAGAGACAGGGATCAAGACCATCCCCAAGAAAAAGAAATGTGAAAAAGCAAAATGGCTGTTTGAGGAGGCCTAACAAATAGCTGTGAAAAGAAGAGAAGTGAAAAGCAAAGGAGAAAAAGAAAGATATTCCCATCTGAATGCAGAGTTTCAAAGAATAGCAAGGAGAGATAAGAAAGGCTTCCTCAGTGATCAGTGCAAAGAAATAGAGGAAAACAATAGAATGGGAAAGACTAGAGATCTCTTCAAGAAAATTACAGATACCAAGGGAACATTTCATGCAAAGATGGGCTCAATAAAGGACAGGAATGGTATGGACCTAACAGAAACAAAAGATATTAAGAAGAGGTGGCAAGAATATACAGAAGAACTGTACAAAAAAGATCTTCATGACCCAGATAATCATGATGGAGTGATCACTCACCTAGAGCCAGACATCCTGGAATGTGGAGTCAAGTGAGCCTTAGGAAGCATCACTACAAACAAAGCTAGTGGAGGTGATGGAATTCCAGCTGACGCTGTGAAAGTGCTTTACTCAATATGCCAACAAATTTAGAAAACTCAGCAGTGGCCAAGGACTGGAAAAGGTGAGTTTTCATTCCAATCCCAAAGAAAGGCAATGCCAAAGAATGCTCAAACTACTGCACAATTGCACTCATCTCACATGTTAGTAAAGTAATGCTCAAAATTCTCCAAGCCAGACTTTAGCAATACATGAACCATGAACTTCCAGATGTTCAAGCTGACTTTAGAAAAGCCAGAGGAATCAGAGATCAAATTGCCAACATCTGCTGGGTCATCAAAAAAGCAAGAGACTTCCAGAAAAACATCTATTTCTGCTTTATTGACTATGCCAAAGCCTTTGACTGTGTGGATCACAATAAACTGGAAAATTCTGAAAGAAACGGGAATACCAGACCACCTGACCTGCCTCTTGAGAAATCCGTATGCAGGTCAGGAAACAACAGTTAGAAGTAGACACGGAACAAAAAACTGGTTCCAAATAGGAAAAGGAGTACATCAAGGCTGTATATTGTCACCCTGATTATTTAACTTATATGCAGAGTACATCATGAGAAACACTGGGCTGGATGAAGCACAGGCTGGAATCCAGATTGCCAGGAGAAATATCAATAACCTCAGATATGCAGATGACACCACCCTTATGGCAGAAAGTGAAGAAGAACTAAAGAGCCTCTTGATGAAGGTGAAAGAGGAGAGTGAAAAAGTTGGCTTAAAGCTCAACATTCAGAAAACTAAGATCATGGCATCTGGCCCCATCATTTCATGGCAAATAGTTGGGGAAACAGTGGAAACAGTGACAGAATTAATCACTGCAGATGGTGATTGCAGCCATGAAATCAAAAGATGCTTACTCCTTGGAAGGAAAGTTATGACCAACCTAGATAGCATATTAAAAAGTAGAGACATTACTTTGCCAAGAAAGGTCTGTTTAGTCAAGGCTATGGTTTTTCCAATGGTCATATATGGGTGTGAGAGTTGGACTATAAAGAAAGCTGAGCACTGAAGAATTGATGCTTTTGAACTGTGGTGTTGGAGAAGACTCTTGAGAGTCCCTTGGACTGCGTGGAGATCACACCAGTCCATCCTAAAGGAGATAAGTCCTGGGTGTTCGTTGGAAGGACTGATGCTGAAGCTGAAACTCCAATACTTTGGCCACCTCATGCGAAGAGCTGACTCACTGGAAAAGACCCTGATGCTGGGAGGGATTGGGGGCAGGAGGAGAAGGGGATGACGGAAGATGAGATGGCTGGATGGCATCACCAACTCAATGGACATGAGTGAGTAAACTCCGGAGTTGGTGATGGACAGGGAGGCCTGGCGTGCTGCACTCCATGGGGTCTCAGAGTCGGACACGACTGAGGGACTGAACTGGATTGAACTGAGTGCCACCTGGAAGCCCGCGGGTATGAAAGGAGGATGAAAGTGAAAGTGAAAGTCACTCAGTCTGACTCTCTCGACCCCACGGACTAATCTGCAGAGTTGAGAAAGGAAGCCTGAGAATAGCCAAGCAGAGAGGGAGGCAAATGTGGGAGCCCTCAGTGTCGACGGTAAAAACAAAAGCCTGGTCTTTAATCTGCTTTGCAAGTAGGTAGATAGAAACTATGTCTTTTCATCTGTATTCATTGGGCACTTGATGTGATCCAGGGCTTTCCCTAGGCCTAAAAAGTGGGTCAATTCACAACTAATTCTGCTGTTATGAAAGCTGTAGTTTTAAAAATATATAAATTGTAGTATAGTTACAACTGTAGAAAGAAAATACAATCCAATCACATAATGGAAGAAAATAATCTGTGTGTCAGCCGGAGCTATCTTCCAGCAGAGGATTTTTTTTTTCATTTCCTACTTTTGTGTACTGTGTAGATTTTCAGCAAGGATCCTGCGTCACTTAAAAGTACTGAATAAATACTTACGAACTTGAAAAAGAAAGGCGCTGTCCAGCGGTGACTAGCTCACTGGCCTCATTAAAGACAAACTCACCTGTCTGGCTCAGTCACGGTCACCATCACGCCAGACGTGGCGCATCTTGCGTGGAGGCCTGGCCTGGAGGCCAGCAGACGGTTCTTCCTGTGCTGGGAGCTGGGGGCCAAGGCCATGTGGGTGAACGTGGCCCCCTGATTCCTGTGTGGGAGCCCCCGCACCCAGGAGCTCAGGCTGTGACTGTACTGAGAAAAAGGGTCATTATTGAGGCGGTCAGCACGACAAGCTGCTGCCTCCCCCACCTCACACCGCCTCCCCTACCTCACACCGCCTCCCCCACCTCACACCGCCTCCCCCCACCCCACACCGCCTCCCCCCACCCCACACCTCCTCCCCCCACCCCACACCGCCTCCCCCCACCTCACACCATCTCCCCCACCACTGCTGTGTCCCCTCTCTGGAATCCTCCCCAGGACCCATCAAAACTGAAAGCAAAACCAGGAATTGTTTCTGAAGTTCCAATTCCAAATGGAGACAGGCCAGTTCGGGCATTTCAGGGCTGCTGCCCTGGGCGCCAGCCTGGTGGGAGGGCTCCTGCTGCCCTGCCCCTCGCCTGCTCTCTCTGGAGTCCGTGGGGTCCCACACCCTCGCCAGGGCAGAGTCTACAGTCACTGGTTAGCGTTCTGCTTGAAGAGCCTCTGGCACAAAACCCGACCCCGTACTGCAGTCGGGGGTTCTACTCTTCCACCAAACCCAAACCCAGGTTCACTCCCTGCTCCCCTGCCTTCAGGAGTCCCCCTGGCTCCCTGCGTCTCTGACTCCAGGCATGGAACTCGCCCCGTCACCCAAGCACCTCGGGGCACAGTCCTGTGGCCCCTGTGTCCGGGTCCAGGGGTCGTCACCGAGAGCCCGCCTTGCAGCGCACTGTCAGGGGCATCCCCAAGGCTGCCCTGGCAGTCACCCTGTGTCCTGTCCTGGGAGGAGAGAGCACTCTCTCTGCTCAGATCCCTCCAACTGCCTCCAGATTCAGGAACAGACCCTCGGAGTGTCGCCCTCCACGTCTCCCCTGGCCCGCCCGCCCTCCACGTCGCCCCTGGCCCGCCCGCCCTCCACGTCGCCCCTGGCCCGCCCGCCCCCCACGTCGCCCCTGGCCCGCCCGCCCCCCGCGTCGCCCCTGGCCCGCCCGCCCCCCGCGTCTCCCCTGGCCCGCCCGCCCTCCACTCTCTCCTCCAGCTCCACCGGCTCCCGTGGCTCCCCGACTGCCCTGAGCTCTCTCCCCTTCACCTCGGCCTCAGAACGTTCTGCTCATCATCTCATCACCGAGACCTGCCCTGGCCAACCTAGGCCCCCTCTCCCCTTAACTTGGGTTTATTTTCCCCAGAGCACAGCCCACCACTTAGCATCAGCAGGTAATCCTCTTATCTGTGAGTTTCTTGTCCCCAGCTACACCTCCAGGTCCCAGATTATGGGCCTGTAAGCGGCTCTCAGTAAATCTGTGTTCGATCAATGCAAAACTGAGCTCCTTTCACTCCTATAACCGTCAGCTGAGAAAAAGAAATCCATTAAATCCCCAGATCCTAAGCCAATCTCTTGTTTCTGCTGTGACACAGACACAGCTTCCTTCATGAGAATGTTGGTCACTGCATGTGTCTCAAGCTTGGTTTTGGAGGAAAATAAAATACATCTTTTCCCTGTTAAGGAGCTCCATCACAAAGAGGAGACGACGCACCGGCCGTGCTGTGTCTACACCTGCAGGGTCATCGTGGCCGCTCTGTGTGGGTCTTTAATTAAGATGAAGGGAATGAAAGCCAGGAGACAGCTGCTTGGCTGTAGGTCAAGGGCTAAGTAGCCACGGGGATGGGTGGTCACAGTCAGACATGGAACGTTGCCTTCGGCACAGAAAGTTCTCCTGAAAGCCCATTTCTAAACACTTGACTCGAATTGTTCTCTGTTTGCAGCTATTTGGGGATGAATTGGGATTAATTAAGTAAGACAGAAAGAAAATAACTGATCTTTTTTAAATATCATATTATGGTAACGAGAATTAGCAGATTCATAAAATCATTTCAATAAACCATCTTGCTAGATTCCACAGGAATGTGTGCAAGAAAAGAAACAGAGAAATAAAGCTACAGAGGGTGAGTCAGCATCGCCAGTTGGAAAGTGCCTTTGCTTGTCCCAGAGGGTTGGTGCCAACCTCCTACTTCCCCCGGGAAACCCTGGGAGCCCCTAACAGGGGAGATCCCCCGGCTGGTGCCCAGACTCAGCCAGGACTTGTCTCCGTGGCCCCGTGATCACAAGTGCTGGGGAAACACAGCTGCCACTGGGACTTTGCCGTGTGCGTGTTGTTTCCCCTAAAATGTGTGGGAGTGAAACTGCGATTCTCACAGCCTGGAAAAGGGAGCTGTAGACTTGAAAACATGCAGGTTGTGGACCTGCTTGTTCCACGCTCGACCACGGGTAGGGAACCCGAGCCTGCATCCTGGCAGCCCGAGCCTCTGTCACCACGGCTGAGAGCTGACCCACCCTCAGTGGGCTTGGCTTTCGTGCTGAAACTGGCGACCCAGGGCTGATCTGAAAACACATGGGAAGTAAACGCTGGGCAAAGTGATCACTGCTCCGACACGCATCTCCACCATGTGCCAGGTTAGATGGTTTGAGTCTGTGGGACTCTGAGTGCGAAACAATGGAGAAATGCATCAGTCCCACCTGTACTGGTCCTCCTGAGGGACGTGGCCCCTCCCTGCCCGCACGAGGCCCTCACCAGGTCCTGGCGTCTGTCCTCGCGAGGATGCTTTGACCTCTGGGTCCTCTCCCGGCCAGCTGTCACCGCCTTGGCCCCGTCCCAGTGCACGTGCTTGAGGCTCGCACTGTTTCCAGCCTTCGAGCTGTCCTTTGCAGTAAGAGAAGCTCTTCTGACGGTACCACGTCACGTCGCTGCTTCAACATCCTCCACTGTTTCAGGAGGAACTTCCGCTGACGTCTAAGGTGCATGCAGAGAGATGACCGGCCCCAAGGGCGCAGCCCGGTCAACAACTAGGGCCCCCTCAACCCTGTTACCGGCCCCAGACTTGGGACCAGAGATGTCCAGTCACTATCCCCTCCTGTCATCCTAACTCCAGACATTACAGGCTGGCTCTCCGGCTTCTAAAGTGAATGCACAGCATGGATTCTTTTGATTTGGCTTATTTGGTTCAAAATGACATCCAAGAGACTCAATCACATTGGTGTGTGTAGCAGCGGTTCATTCGGTTCATTCCATTCCATCCTTTTGCCATTGGCCATGGTTTGAATGCACTTAGCACCCAGCTCATCGAGGGCCTTCATAATATCTGCCAAATGGTTATTGAGTGTTAACAATGATATCTATTACAAGCTTTGCTCAAGACAACAGGATTCTAAAACTCCGAGGCAACATGCTCATGGCCATCAGGGCTCTCTTTCCAGAATGATCCAAATGAGCAAGGACTTTAATTCAGATTTCATTTTAAGAAGAGAATGTGCACATACATGTGTGAGATCACACTTGGCCCACACAGGACAAGGACAGCAAGAAGTGATGACCCCTAGTCCCTCACGACTGCTCTGGGAACCTGGCACAGGCAATTTCTGGGCTCGGACCCCTCTTCCCAGTGGGCCTCCCTGGAAGTTGGCTTACTTCATTTACTTCAGTGGCTTTAGACTCCCTGGAAAGAAACGTCCCCTACTGCACCTAAACAACCTTGATGTGGACGCAAACCTAATCCCATTGGGCAGAGACTCTGAGCCCAGAGCTTTCTGCCAAGCGTGCTGCCTGCTTTGTACACAGGCGTCGGAAATGGCATTTTGCATAAGTGGTTTTATGTGGGTGGTTATTGAGGGAAAAAAAACTCTCTATCACAGCAGCCCCTCAGTGGGTAATTCACAAGTGCTCACTTCTGCAGAAAAAATACAAATCTCAAACAAGCTGTGGAAATGCATGGAAACATAGAGCGTACTTCTTTTGACTAAAACTTTAGCACAGTTACTCGTTGGAAAGATCAGCCTTCTCCTATGTTAATACTGTTAATCTTTTAAGAAGGACCAAATCGTTTGTATGCAGAGTGGTAAAATTGTTTATTTTCTTTCCTTGAATCCTTTGAATTTTTTTATGCTGTTGTATCACTTAAAATTTAGTCAAGGTTAGTTTATAAAATTCTGAACTAAGTGGGAATTAACCATGTTGTTGTTGCCTGAATACTGGAAATGCCTGCTTCCAGGGGCATTGCTGGGGAGCGGGATCCGTGTACCCCGAGCCCAGCCCAGAGCTATTGCTTATCCTGACAACTAGGAGATTGGCACCTGCTTAAACTTTGTACCCAGGGTAAGTGTCTCATTCCCCTGATGCAAGGCCCAGCCTGACTGGAAGCATGCTAAGGATAAAAACACAGAAGTAAAGGTAGGAGGCACAGGACTCTACCTTCCGTGTTTTTCAGCCGTAGTTTGCTCATGATAATTTTTGGATTACTGCTCAACTGCCTCCCAATTCACTAATTCTCTCTTTAGCTCTAATTTATCCTAAATTTATCCAGTGAGCTCTTCATTGAGTTATTATCATTTTTTTTTCTTCTGAATTCCTAAAAATTTTGTTCACTTTTTGTGGTTTCTAATTCCTGGCCATTTTTGAGCTTGGTTTTATCTCTTAAAAGGCAGTAAATACAGTTATCCCAGACCACGGCTAGGGACTCTGGCCTCTGGAGTCACTGGGATTCTGTTCTCGGTGACTCCTGTCTGCATTTCTTCTCACTCACCACTCACATGGTGGTGTTGTCTGTTGTGTCTGCTTATCTTTGACTGTGTGCTGGACACAGTGGGGTGTGTGTGTGTGTGTGTGTGCGTGTGTGTCTAAGCGCTGGGGGAAACCATTTGAGGCCTCGGATGACACTTCCTTTAGGGAAGAGGTTTATTTGCTTCTGTAACTCCGTGGGTGGACTGGGAGGTAGCAGTCTGGGACACCTTAAACCAGAGGCAAGCCCTGAGGTTTTCCGGGCCACCTCGCTGGCGTGAAAGGGGGCTGCAGAACTGTGGGCAGAGGGTTCGCTTCACCCTCACTTCTGTGCGAAGGCCCTTGGGGTTGCCAGGCCCCAGTGGGGGTTCCCTTATCAAAGTTTGGTGCGCCGCAGACTCCAGCATTTTTCCTCGGCTCTGCGAGAACACCAGAAGCAGAGTTCAAGTCTCAGCCACGGCTCCCCGATCAGCCGCTGCCTGTAAGATCCAGAGAGATCCTTCCTGCCCAGTCTGTCTCTGTTCCAGCTCCATCTTGGATTTCAGTCCAGTAATCTCTCACTATCTTCTCAATTCTTTGAGGCTTTAAAATACTGATTTCCCCCAGCTTATTGGGCTATCCTCTGTAAGACATAGCAAGTCATAGAGTTGTTATAGCTAATTATATTAGTTATTATATTTGCTTTTACAACCTTATGAAGTTGTATTTGCTTTTATAATATAACATTACAGCAAATCATCTAGTCTGCCATTTACTGGAAGTGGCAGTTCTTTCAACAAGAAACTTAAGTACAGATAAAGCTGTACATATAAAAATTTCATGTAAAAAAAAAAAGCCCATCAAAAATTTTCCAGGTAATAGAGGTTCGCATGTATTAACTTATTTAGTGTCACTACAATGATCTCCAAGGTTGTGCTATTATTATCCACATTTTTAGGTGAAAGAGATTGTGGCCCAGAGATAGGGGATGACTTGACTGTGGATAAGCAACCAGGCAAGGGCACAGCACAATTTAGACCCAGGCCTGCCTGACTTTGAGGCCCATTCTCTTTGCCTCTGCTTTAGAGTCAGAAATGAAAACTGATATTTTAATCTCTGCTTCATGCAGCAAAAAGGACTTCTGGAGATGAGTGGCAACTGTGAACAGCCAAGAAATCAATGGATAAAATATGCTTTCACTGCATATTTTATACAAATCAGTTCAACCATAAAATTTGACAGCTTGTAAATAATGGCTTAAGAAACCCAGAGAGAAGAGAGGTAAAATTAATTTAGAGACTGATTGTCCCTGGTCTTTAGCGTGACCCCCAGTTCTCTGCTTCCCAACTTTATAATGGCATTTCGTGGGTATTTACTTCACTGCAAAGCTCCTTTCCCTTCTCTCAGTGTCTAGATGATGGAGGAGTTATAATACAGATGTACACATATTGTAGGAAGCATGTAAGGTGGAAAACAAGTTTACAGTTTTTAAATCATGAAAGCTAGTTTACATTTTAGTAAGTACAAAGCAGCATGGGATGATAAGTAACTAGATATTAAATAATTAAGTACTTAGATGCTCAACTAAGATTTGAAATAATCTAACCCCAAAATAACTCCTGAGTTGACTTAGATGAATTATAACACACTTTTAGTCATAGTTTTTAAATGCAATACAATGCAATTTTTTGTGCAGCACACTGCATATAAAACAAGCTCCAGAAGAGTATCAAAAATAATCATTAAAAATTCATATTAACTTCTGTTTTGAGGATGGATTGCACATTGTCGTTGTTGTTCAGTCAATAAGTCACGGCCAACTCTCTGCGACCGCATGGAATGCAGCATGCCAGGCTCCTCTGTACTTCACTGTCTTCCAGAGTTTGCTCAGATTTATGTCCATTGAGTCGGTGATGCTAGTGAACCACCTCATCCTCTGTCACCCCCTTCTCCCCCTGCCCTCAATCTTTCCCAGCATCAGGGTCTTTTCCAGTAAGTTGGCTCTTTGCATCAGGTGGTTGCATGAGATTGCCTCAAAGTACTTGACACTATTTTATCCCATGAAACTCTTCTAGTAAACATCAGTCTATAGACAGTCCAATACCTGTGGCACTTCCTTTTAAAGGGGTCCTTTGCAAATGCACATCCTGCTCCAATAGGTCTGGGATGGGATCTGAGACACTGCACTTGTAACGAGCTCCCAGTGATGCCCAAGCTGGGGTCAGCGGGTGTTTCATTTTCAAGATGCAGAGTTCAGAATTGTAGCTTTTGAATCACATATAGAAGATATGAGAAAAATCCAGTAATTCTATCAATAAAAATTTCAATAATAGTCTACTTATTATAAGTATAAGCATAAGTAAATTTGTCTACAAAATTAGATAAGGAGAAAATTTTTGCTTAGCCTTGCTTTTTTAAAATTATTTTCTAACATTACAAAATTACTATAAGCTGGCATGTGAAACACACTTTTTCAGATTTTTTTTTTTTTTATTGATGAGCAGAGCTTCAACAGTTTTTGACAGAGCATCCCATGGAACCTCAAAGAGAACACTTGGGTAAGTATATATGTCATCAGAAGACAGGGAGAAGTGTGTGTGTGTGATACCTTCAAATTTATAAAGACGGTAAAACAAACCTGTGTCTTTCTGTCAGGTGACAAAGAAAATAAATAGGAAAAGAATGAAAACTAGATGTCCTCACAGACAGTACTATATTTATCCTAATCGATAAAAATTTTTTTCTTCTTTCCAAATGCTAAGCTCAATGAATGTAATTCAGTATGCTTTCCTTATTAAAGATTGTAATTCACCTAACATAGAGAACTCATAACTAAACATAGAAAATCATTCTCTAACACAGAAAAACAATGCACGGTCAGTGCCCAATGAGAAAGAGACTAAAGAAAAGAGAAAGACAGAAGGAGGAGAAGAAGAGGGAAAGAAAGAAAAAGGAGGCAGGAGGGAGAGGAGGAGGAGATGAAGGAGGCGGTAGAGAGTTAGGAAGGAGGGGGTGAAGACGGGAATTAGCTCTTCATCTCCAACGGAGGCATCTTTGTTTACCATTATACAGATGTATATTTGTCATCATACTAGATCCAGACTCCAGGAACTATTCAATTTCAATGTGTCCCCCATGAACCTCTCGCAAGGAGAAATTGTCCCAAATGCCCTTGGGCAGAACATGGAAGATCACTCGATTTACCTCCCAAACAAAGCAGGGATTGTAACGATGGGCCGGACTCTTCACTCAACATCCTGTCCCTCGTCTCTGATGGAGCAAGGACGCTTGAGGCGGTCAGAAAAACAGGTGGAGGGACAAGCGAACACAGTGCAGGTAGAAGACATTGTATCTTAAAAGGCTGCAACAATTCCTCAACACAGCCTAGTTTCTGACTAGAAGGTAAGAGGTCTTAAAAACTCACTGTGGGCAAACTATTCTGAAAATTCATCAACTCCCAATACTTCGGTTCTCTTTGTAATCAAGCATTATTATTTTCAACACCGTGTTGTGTGGTTTTCTCTTTTTTCTTTCTTGCTTTATCTGGAAGCAGACATTCAGCTTGTTGGAACTAGTGAAGACAAAGACATGGATTCGATCTCCATATGGATCTGTTAACTCCATACTGGTTCTGAAGGGCCAGACTCGCTTTTTAAACACTTGGCTATCTTCTAACTAAATTGGGAGAAAAAATAAAGCATTCCACATATCTCTGGCTCTTCATTTCTTCCTGTAGATGTTAGTTTCCACCGAGGGTCTCGTCCTTTCACTCTGAAGAATGTCTTTTAGCGCTTTTTATAGTGCAAATCTGTTGGTTGTAAATACTGTCAGCTTTCAATGATGTGAAACTATCTTATTACAAGCTTCTTTTGAAAGATATTTTTGGTTCATATGGAATGACTGGGGGTTGATGGTGTGTGTGGGGCTTTTCTTTCATCATTTTAAAGAGGTCTTTCCTTCATTTTCCGCTCTTCATTGTATTTCATGAGAAGTAAATGTGTAGTCCTGTACATATGTCCTTTTTCTCCAGCCGATTTGAAGATGTTCTCTTTTTCTTTATTTTCACCAGTTTAACTAAAATGTGCCTCTGAATGGTTGTTTTTATATTTATCTTTCTGAGAGTTTGATGAGCTTCCGAGGTCTGCAGGTCATGTTTTTCACCAAATTGGTCTGATGTCTGGCCATTATTTCCTCAAAAAAAAAAAAATGCTTTCACCTCAATACTGCTTGCTGGGCTTCCCTGGCGGCTCAGATGGTAAAGAATCCGCCTGCAATGCGGGAGACCTGGGTTCAGTCCCTGGGTTGGGAAGATCCCCTGGAGGAGGGTGTGGCAACCCACTGCAGTATTCTTGCCTGGAGAACCCCATGGACAGCGGAGCCTGGCGGGCTCCATGGGGTCCCAAAGAGTCAGACAGGCCTGAGCGGCTAAGCACCTTGCCTGCTACTCCTTCCGACCTCCAGTTGCACTAGCGGTTAGACCGTTTGATAATGTCTGCAGGTCCCCGAGGCTCTGTTGACTTTTTCTTTACTTTTCTTCTCTCTGTTCCTCAGGTTGGACAATTTTTGTTGCTATCGTTGAATTAATTACTCTCTCTTCCGATGTCGCCTGCCTGCTGGAAGCCTGTCTTATGAATTTTCCTCTCTCTGTTCCCCAGGTTGGACAATTTCTGTTGCTATCGTTGAATTAATTACTCTCTCTTCCGATGTCTCCTGCCTGCTGGAAGCCTGTCTTACGAATTTTTCTCTGCAGTTACTACGCTTTCAAGTTCATAATTTCCATTCGACTCTTCTCTGTAATTTCAAAATCTTCACTGAGATTCATTCTGTCCACTTGTTAATACTATATTTTCCTTCAATCATTTGAACGTGTTTTTGAAATCTTGACTGAGGGCAACATCTGTGTCATCTCAGGGTCGGTTTCTATCGACTGCTTTTTCTCTTGACTATAGCCTTCATTTTGCTGTTTCCCACCATGTCTAGAGAGTCTTTTTACTTCCAACCCTAATCAGCTGTTCAGTTGAATGTATGCAGTGTGAAGAGTTCACCTTAACTAAGACTGTGGTTTGGCCATATAGTTAGTTAAGCAAGAATAGAGGCAGGAGGCTGAGAGTATTTCGAAGGCGAGATTATGATGATTGACTGGAATGTAAGGATCGAAGGATTAGTGGGGATGAGCGGGCTGCACACAGCCACCCTGCAGCCCGTGTGCTCCCGTGAGGAGGGCTCCAGGGGCAGTTGTTCGTGGCAAGATAATCACAGACGCAGACTGCGGATCTACAGAGAGTGTGGATGATGCATCAGAGAGACTGAGTTCTGCTTCCTTCCTCTCTTCCACATTGGCCCATGACCAGTCACTGGATGGCCACCACAAATTTGGTTCCATGCTCTGCTGGTGCATGGGCGGGAGTCCAAAGTTTCCCCAAGTCCCTCTAACTTGGCCTGACTTTTTGCTTCCTCTGTGAATCTGCCCAGAGCTTGGCATTAGGCTCATTAGCAAATCGGGCCCAAGCGTGTGAGCCTCACCCCGAGGCCATCCTGTGGGGTCTCATCTGGATGTGCAGGTGTTGATTTGGCATTGATGAGCCCCCTTTGGGCCCAAGCGTGTGAGCCTCACCCCCAAGGCCGTCCTCTGGGGTCTTGTCTAGATGTGCAGGTGTTGATTTGGCGTTGATGAGCCCCCGTCCCCCGCAGGGTCCGCACTGCTCAGCTCTGGTTGCTGTTTGGCTCCCAGTCCCTTTCGAGCTTCTACCTGATAAGCCTGGTCAGTCTTGCCCTGTGCATGCACAGCCTGGCCTTCAGCCACACCCTCCTGGGCCCCGCAGGACACCCAAGGCCCTCCAGCTGCATGGCGCTCTCTTCTCTACTGTTCTGCAGATTGCAGCGGCTCCAGGCACCCAGAACTCTGATTTCTGCTTTCCTGACTTAGAGAGACCCCTGGGCTCTCTCGGGTCCCCGACCACTGGACTGTGGCCAGGAAATTGCTCCCAGGAAGAGAGGCAGGCCACAGGGCTGAGCTCACAAGCTTCCTTCTGCTGGGGACCATGACCTTGTGAAACCCGTTACCCGCTGCTGGAAAACAATTGCCTTGTATTTTTTGTCAGGTTTTACAGTTGTTTGGGGCTGAAGAACAACCCAGGATGGCTTCCCCATCATAGACAACTGGCTGTTTTTGTTTATCTTTACCTATCCAGCAAATATTTCTCGAGTGTCTACAATGCTGGAGGCATTAGAAATACAGGGTGAACAAACGGCATGATCCTTGTCCTCAGGAGGTTCATAGTCTACGGAAAAATGCGTATTAAACAGATAACCTCAGAAATAAATCTGCTGTTTACCGTGTGGCAGCTGGTGTGTATTTTAAAATACAACCTCTGCCTTAATTTATATGGAGAAAAAAGGCATCTTCAAGCAAGGCACCTGAGTGATGTGTAGCCAAACTAAAGTTTGAGGGAAGAAATATGAGATAAAAGAACAGATTAGAACCAAGAAAAGATTGTGGGAGGAGGTCCCTGGGGCAGGAACAGAAGTCATCTAGGGCCTCGGTGCCTAGGGACAGCAACCCAAGATGATGGAACAGCAGGCAGGGCTTCGTTAACAATATGAGACCACGTTGTCAGAGCTGGAGCACCAAGGAAATGTAAGATCACTTTCAGAATTGTGTTGTTAAGTGTAGGTCACCGTGTGCATGCTCAGTCGTGTCCCAGTCTTTGCGATCCCAATGACTGTAGCCCACCAGGCTCCTTTGTCCTTGGGATTCTCCAGGCAAGAATACTGGAGTGGGTTGCCATGCCCTCCTCCTGACTCAGGGATCAGACCTGAGTCTCTTACGTCTCCTGCATTGGCAGCTGGGTTCTTTGCCACTAGCACCACCTGGGAAGCCCTAAGTATAGATAACAATGGCGCTGACTGGTCCCAACAAGTTTGTCATGCCACGTCTTCCAAGAACAAGAAGGAATGTATCTTTGAGAGGATGGAATCTCAGCTGAGGACGTCCGCCTCAGAAGACCCAGTGTGCTATAGGTCAGTATTATTGAGATGATAAACCTCAGTAGTTAGTCCTTCCCTTTCAAACATTCACAGGGATTGAGCCACATCTCCTACGGATCCTATGCTGGCAGACAGGTTCATTACCACTAGTGCCACCTGGGAAGGCCTCAGACAATAAAATTCCACCTAAAAAGCGCTTTTAAATGTTGCCTGTTGGATCTCTGTACTTTCACAGGTTTGGTTAGCTGTAGCAAGAACTTACAAGGGAAAACAGTAGAATTAAAGGCATCAGGCTAGTTTTCTGGAGCTTAAGTGTTAAGGCAAAGACGCAATAGATATTAGGAGTTACAAACACCACGGAGAGTAGGAGGGCACGCAGAAAAGTCACTTATATAATTACTGGAAATGTTTCCGGAATCTTCTTTGGAGGCCTGACATAAGATGCCAACTAGTAAATGCCTATTGCGATCAAGGTTACTCTTCTGTCTCATGCTTGAACTGAAGCGAAAACATTTTTAAGTCATTGAAGAGAAGCTTTCAAACACAGTATCTACAACCTCATATGATCACAGCCGTTCACATGATCACCAAATTTGCTTGGTAACTATCCACTCAAATTAGGCAATTTTTGCTCAGTGTAGACAAATATTGGTCAATCTGGTTAGTTTTGGCTTCAATCATCCTGTTATTAAAATAGTTTCTTTGGGGCAGAAATAAATCAATACTCATGCAAGTCATATTTTTTTCAAACTGTTGCAGGAGGAGCTGTGTTAATTAAAATTTTAAAGATATTCTGATACAGTAAAATCATGCATCTTTTCTGCATAAGATACTAGCCAAAAAGATGCATAACTTGTGTGTGTATGTGTGCGTGCATGCGCGTGTGTGTGATGGAGGAAGTTATATGCCCATAATCATGTACATATGTAACCTAGTTCCTCAATGTCACCTCACATACATTATACTCAGCTAAATTACTGAAAATAAAACGTATAGTATGATATATTGCAACCATATATTGTGTACAGTTTGTATATAAAAAAGAAAGAATGATTAAAAGTCGATGAGAGACTGTTTATAAATCTTGATTGCTTCATAATTTTAACTTTGAGCAACATTTTTATCATAATTATAGGCTTTCTTAAAGCATTTATGCAGATTGTTGTTACTCAAAAGGGGGTTTATTCCATTTTGGTATAAACTACACTTTTTTTTCTTTATGAAATCACTCTTTGAGTTCCTAATACTCAGTCCTCTGCCAGAGCTGCAAAATTCACACGGCAAGAATTCAGTCCTCTCAAAGGACTGTCGCTTTATTCCATTGCCTGCCCACGTCCTGCCCCCGACATGGGGCAGGCAGAGAAACACATCCTTACCGCAGGCGCTCACATCTGCAGAAGCTTCGAATTTCTCTCTGGACTCTCACAGGCCTGCGAGGCAAGCGCATTTTTGCACCCACTTCTCAGGTCAGACACTTAATCCCTAGAGGTTTAAACTGTGACAAAATATTCCATTCTAGACTCATAAAGCATTACTGCTGCCTCACTTTAAAGCTTGAAAACTCGAGGTCCCGGAGAAGGGACGTGGTGGAGCCATGGCAGAACCGGGGGTTTGCCTGCATTGAAGGTACAGCAACAATCTCATGGAAATCTAGGCAGAATTGTTCACAGAGACTTTGGCGTCACGTAGATTCAAAGTCAGAGAAAAACCCTACAGCGTTTTCTTCCACGGAGTCCTCACCTTCCCTGAGTGAGCACAGACCCAAAAGGAAAGGAGGAAAAGAAATATATCACCAGAAACGAACATGAAAACAACCCCACCCCGGCTCCAAACAAAGCTTTAAGAAGAGCACCCATGAAAGGGAGGACCCCCAGAAGAGGACGGGGGGTGGGGAGGCCGTCCCGCAAGAGCGGCCCAGGTCTGCTCAGACCTGCAGACATGCTCCCACGGGGCGGGAGGGGAGTCACATTCCAGGGATGAGTGCGTGGCCACACCCGCGGGGCCAGCTCCGTGCCTGGCACATTGCAGGACATCGGCACAGATACACTCAGTGACTGCATGAAGTTCTGAAACAGAACACCTCCCCGAACCAGGAAGGAGTAAGACCTCCAAAACCTACAGTTTATGAAAGAGGGACCGCCCTGAGTATCCACCTCGTCAAGTCAGTAAATAAGCCTTGAGCCTGGAGGGCTAGAGTCCATGGGTCGCAAAGAACTGCATGTGACTTAGCAAGTAAACACCAACGTGGACGGAGTAAGAAGTTAAGATTTGGTCAGTTTCCTGAAGAAGTGGATTTGATCACAAGAAGCTGTCAGCTCCCTGTTGTCACAGATTGCAGGGGGCGGGGCCGGTCACCTCAGGTTTTCAGAGGTAAACACCAAAATGTCAAGGTGGTCAGAGTCCGGGTTCCTGAAATGAACGCTTGTGCATGGGAGATGGTGATGCCCTCGGGGGCTGCTCTGGTCAGACGGTGGTGTTTTCACAGGAGAAGTCGCTGTTGCCCGGCTGGCCCCGGCTCTGGCCCTCGCTCTGTCCAGGGAAGTCAGCGTCAGCCACTGCAGTTGTAGCAAGAATCCTGAAAGTGGGCGTTGACGTCTCCACTACAGACTAGGGGCCAGGGCTGGAGAAGCTCGGGGTCACAGGCTCGGAGCTGCAGGGAAGCCGGGCTCCGCACTGATGTCCCCGTCGCAATCACTCCATCAGGAACACACATCTCCACACCTGCTGTGCCCAGGCCCCTCCCAGGTGCGAGCTCATCTCCCGTCTCCACTACCCCAAGGCCAGAGCCACTTGCAGGCTCCTGTGTGCATCACCAGAAAGCAGGCCAACCACAAATATTAGATGTTACACAGTTACTATCCCTTTTCAAAGGTAAACTTTAAATTATGAATATTAATTACCAAGACGCTCCTCTGTTCTATGAGCATATATTCACAGAGAAAGTTCTGTATTCACAGGTGTGGTTGTGTGTGTACACAGAGATGCACCAGCAAGCCACTCCTCCTTTTTTTCTAATTTATTTTTTATTGCCACATAGTTGATCTACAATGTTGTGTTAATATCTGCCGTACGGCCGAGTGATACACTACTGCATTCTTTTTTTATGTTCTTTTCCATCATGGTTTATCCCAGCAGACTGAACAGCGTTCCCTGTCTCTGTAGTAGGGTCACGTGGCTCATCCTTCCTACATGTAATAGTCGGCATCTACTCAACCCACACTCCCAGGCCATCTCTCTCCCACCCCCACCCCCTCCTTTCAAGGACAATTATTCAAGTTCTTCACCAAAAACGTTCAACCCTTTGGTGAAGTCTTTCAGTAATTACAGCTGTGCTTCTATGGTAAAGGACAGGACCAGAATGAAAGATGGGCCTTCATCAGCTCTGCTACGGAGAATATTCTGATATTCCAGCTGTCCTCCTGCTCAGTGACCTGGGGCTCAGGGCGCGCCCCTGGGTCACCGTGAGGGTTGACTCTCAGGAGAGGATGGGAGACACTTGTGCCCCATTCAACGTGAATACGGACATTTGACAAATCAGCCAGAATGCATTACTTCATGGCTCAACAGTTCAGTTTAAATCCTTAGATTTAAAAAAGGCATAGAAAAATACTACTCTGAAAGTTAACTTTAACAAAGGATGGGCAGCTAGAAGGCGAAGGATGCTCCTGAGCGGGTGAATCTAACCACGTGGAAACCACTGCTAACTGCTGGAAAGGTGCATCACCACCCGGAGTCCCCGCAGTGACCTGTCCTGGATGAAGCCCTCCTCCTCATCCCCGCTCCGTCCCAGGGCTCCCAGTCTCACCGACTTTCTCCAGGCTGGGCGCCTTCTGATGGATGCAGTCTGCACCACACAGTTC